TGGTAATTGCGTTTTCAGACTGGTCTCTCGTCTTAAGAATTCTTTCTAGAAGCCTGGAAAGGGTTTGGTTGTTTATTTCAGGCTTTTCCCAGACTATTAAGGCCTCCCCTACTTTCCCTGTACTCCAGCAATATATATATATTTTAAAGAGCACCTGGTATGCAAAGCATAGTTTACTTTCATGTTTCAAATCTGAAAGCTGATTTTAGGAAAAATGGAAAGCCAACGTCTTGGGTTGGGCAGAATCCCCTTAGCATGTATTACAAATTTTTCTCTTAAGTGGCTTTCGTTGATTTTGTCCTTTCTTTTTATTTTCTGATTACAAAACTTTCATCAGAAGTTTGGTAGGAAAGGAGTTTGAAACAAGTGCATTTTTGAGGGCTCTTATCATTCTATAATGTTACGATATAATGCTGTTTAAGGTCTCCGCATCTGGTAAATTACAAAAAGAAAATCTGCTGTTAGAAATCTACCAAATCATTTTATAGTTGAACAAGTTGCTTCTGAATGTTATGTTTAACCTAAATAGCTGACAGATTTATTCTCCCAATAACCTCCCACCCCTGTCCCTCTAACCTCCACCTACTAATTTTGTCTTAGTTAGTCATGAATAAATAACATTTATGATTACAGTTTGTGATGGCCCTTGGGAACTGTGAGATGCTCTCAACTGGAATTTAAATTTCTACAAGCAGTAATCCAATTTGTCAGGTTTTGGGATCTTAGCCATGTATACTTAGCATTATTCAATCACCAGAGTCATATCTCTAGGAAAGAACAGGTCTCGCCACATAAATTCAGTCTCTGAATGAAAGCCAGCATGAGTCAAACAGACACAACTAATTGGGTCTTCACTGTAAAGAACTGTAAAGAACATTTGTTAGCAAGTTGTGGCATAACTGTTCATTATCTGATAGAAAACTCTTAACTCTATTGGGAAAATGTTTTCCTATGAAAATATAAAATATATGAGTTGGGGTTCTTATTGGGAGGTTTAAACCATGTTTTAAATGTAACGGAAATCTTGGAATTTTGATACTAGTGCATCAAATTTGAAATGAAATTTAAAATATTTTGGACTGATCAAGTTTGTCTCATAATTACAGCATGGTTTAATGTGTTTAAGGGATACATACTAGCACTTGTGTGAAAGTCAGAGCTGGATGATTTTACTTGAAATTTAAACCACCTGCATGCTTGAATTTTTCACTCTCTCATTTCCTCTTTTTATACATGTGTAGTTATTTAGAGAAAGGGTAAAAAGCAGGATTGATTTTTAATTTCTACAGCACTTGCAGGGTCTTAGTAGAAGTGCCACCTTGGTAGGTTGCTCTTTGGGCTGAATACTTTTTCTCCAGGCAAGGGGGGGCCATGTAACCCCTGGGAATGGAGTGGAGGCTATAATTCTTAGTCATTTGTTGTTGTAGGCTAAGTTCCAAACAATGAACTAGAGGTGAAAGTCCCTATGTCCTATTACTAATCCCCATGGTCTCTTAGGTTCCTTTTGTTTTTCTTCTCATTACATTATTAACTGTATAATGTCAGGGGATATATCAAACTTCCATAATGGAAGCATAATGTATAAACAATTTATAACTTAAAAATTTCTCAACCTGTATGTAGGGTTCTCATATTTAATATATACCATCACAGAATTCTAGATAACTTAAAAAAAAATATGTTAGATTTCTGAAGATTTTCTAATTTATTCTCTCATATTGGATTTTAATTTTTATGACTTCTTTACTCTGTTGTATTAAATTGTGGCCCCAATAGGGCTTTTAACAATCATTTCACTAGTGACTTCCATTATGATCTGTGGTTGGATAGTCTTGTGTTGGATTCCATAGAACTATTTCTTGAGCCTTAGCATCTTCTCTTTGGGAAGTGCCAGATTCACCATAAAGAGAAATGTGAAGTTTAAAAAACTTGGAATAGTATTATCTCTGGTGCTGTTTACACACAACATTATTTTTCTACGTACTACATTTAAAATGATTTTCATTTAAAATGATTCATTATATATGATTATTGTAGAAAACAAGAAAATAATGACAAGCAAAAAGACAAATTCAAATCACCTCAAATCCTACCATCCAGAGGTAACAACTGTTAACATTTTTATTTTCATGTCTATCACTTAATATTTCTCTGTTTATACACACACATATTAGTATATATACATACACAATGCATGTATATATATAATGATGTTATACTATGTCTACTTATATTGCAACTGTTTTCCCCCACTTTATATTATTATCAACACATTTTCCTGTTCACAATTATGTATCTATGCTATCATCTAAGGATTGCTAATGCGATGTTTTATAGATCGCTATAATTTATTTAATCTTTAATTATTGGATATTCAAATTGTTTTCCATTTGAATGTTTATGTTACTATAAAAAGTTTTCCAATCAGTGTCTTTATACATAAATCTTGTGCATTTAACTGTTTATTTCTTTAGGATGAATTTCTAGAAGCAAAATTCCTAGGTGAACTAGTAAGCACACATTAAGGCTTGTGTATCCATTGCCAAATTGTTCCCTAGAAATAACACATCAATATATAGTCCCTTCTATGGAATGAGTGTCTTTGTTTATTTGTTTGTTTGTTTGTTTATCCTGTACTATCCTTTTCATCTTTGACATTCTCACAGTTGAAAATGGCATCACATGGTTTCTTTAATTCCCATTTCACTAATTACTAGTAATGTTTAATGCCTTTTTGTGTATTTACTTGAACATCTATAATTTTTTTAATGGATTATCTGTTTTGGTGTTTAGCCTATCTTTGATTAGATATATTTGTAAGATTTAAAAAATGTAATAACTCTTTGCCTATTAGATTTCAGAAAAGATTTTTTTACTTTGTCACTTGCCTTTTAATGTTTTGATATTTTTGATATATAGTTTAAACTTTTAGCTTTTATTTTAAAAATTAAATATATCATTTGTACAAATGAATACGTAAATGCCATATATATATACTGTTTGAATAATAATAATTATTAAGAAGTAACCTTGTATTCACATCCCAGTTGAAGAATAGTACATTTCCAAAACCCTTGAAGCTTGTATAAGCTCCTGTCATATCACATTTTCTCTTCTCTCCAAAGGTAACCAATTTCCCTAATTTTGTTCTTATTTTCTTTATAGATTTATCACATATAGGCAATTCTTAAACAGTGTATTATTTAATCTTGTATATTTTTGAAATATATATAACTAGAATTATACTTTATAAATTCTTTTGTGACTTCTTTTTATTTTTTTAAAACTAAAGAGTATCCACCCATGGATAATGTTAAAACATCATTTTTAATGCATGTATGGTATTCTACTATATGGCCATATCACAATTTATTTATTCATTTTTTTGTTGCTTCCAATTTTTTGCTATTACACACACAAAAATGCTTCTTGTACATATCTTAAACCTTCTTGTACATATCTCCTGGAGCTTATCTGTAAAAAGTCTATTCTTTTTAAAATATATATATCTTTATTGATTTCAGAGAGAGGAAGGGAGAAGAAAAGAGACAGAAACATCAATGATGAGAGTCATTGATCAGTTGCCTCCTGCATGCCCCCTACTGGGCATGTGTCTTGACGAGGAGTTGAACCAGGATCTCCTGGATCATAGGTCAGTGCTCAATCGCTGAGCTTTGCAGACTGGGCAAAAGTCTATTCTTAGTATTGGAACTGCTGGGTCATAAAGTAGGCATATTTTCTGCTGGAAAAAAAGCCAAATTGTTATTTAAAGTGTTTGTATCATTTTATACTCCCACTATCAGTGTTTAAGAGATTCTGTTGTTTGACATTATTGTTATAATATTGTAATATAGTATATTATTAGGGTTTAAAATCACTGGTGGCTGTAAAATGGTATCTCCTTGTGGTTTTATTTTGTATTTTGCTCATTACTGATGAGGTGAGCATCTTTTTTATAAACTTATTGATCATTTGTGGATGCTTCTCTGAAGAATGCCTTTTCATGTCTTTTGACCATTTTTCTATGAGGTTGTCTTTTATTCCTTTTTTTTGTTCTTTCCTTCCTTTCTTCCTTCCTCATTGAAATCTACAAACTGCCAGAAATCAGTAAATATTAGCAAATGGTCCCAAGCAACCACACATTATAGTGCTTGATTACCTTTCTGGATTCCATCTTTTAAGTCATTTTTGCTTCTAAAGAATTCCTTTATTTTCTTGCCATCTAAACCATTTTTCTAAAAGGCTTTCTAAAAATGTTTTATTCAGAACTTTTCAGCATCCTGTACAGAAACATTACTTGGAGTACACCATATTTATGGAATTATAAATCTAGAAATTTAAAATTTTGGTACAGTCAAATCTCTCAATATCCCTGTGTATGGGCTTTGTTTTGGTGTTAAACTTACGAAGTCCCATTTCACTTCAAGAGTATTCAAATATTCTAATATATTTTCATTTTGTAATATACAAATATGTAATTTATTTAGAATTCATCTTGATGAAACATGAGAAGTAGAAATCTAATTTGATTTTTTCTCAGTTAACTTGTTGTCCCAACATCTAAGTCATTTGTCAAAAAATAAAAATATGAAATAATAAAAGCTGAAGTTAATGTCACCAATAAAAAAAGTTGTGTTTGAATAGACATTATAATCATACTCATTATTAGCTCCATAATATGGAAAATCAATTATGAAAATAAATGGTTTTGTGTTTTAAAAAGTATCTCAATTGTCTTTGTACTCTTGGAAAGAGGAGAGACTTTTAATTCCTTAGCTTTACTTGCCAGTGCCTACTTTGGAAGATGTATTTTTTCTTAAAAATTCTCAGGATACTCTAAAATAGGGCAATAAAACAGGAAACCCTGGGGAGATGAAATTTTTGCTGACCCCATGTATATGTTCTTTCTGTTTTTCTATAATCAGAATCTTGCATATATTGAATTCCCCATTGTGACACAATTATTGGTAGTCTAGTAGAGAATTGGAAACAGACACAAATTAATTGGAAGGGAAAAATGAACCTTTATTTCCCCAGGGATGTGGACCATGAGGGTGGGGAGAGAGATGCTTGTATAATCTCTATGGAAGAGTATTAGGCTCTTCTTCATAGATTAAATTGTGGCTTCTAGTTGAGCTTCCTTGTATCTGTAGAATCATTTCCATGCAAACTAGAAATTCACTGTCTGAGAAGTAAAATTAAACTTCCAATTGCAACTCATAGCTCACGTGTCCATAGACCTGTGTGGAAATAACAGAGGATTAGAATTATGGACACAGTCTCAACCATTCAGCAATTATTTGTTGACCCTTCCAAATCCATGCTGGGTCTTGCATAGGATAAGAAGAGATTTCAATTCTCATTTATTTATAATGTGGAATAATAGGTTATCTTTATTAATAGGACATATAAATTATTAGTTACATTTTAAAAAGTCAAAAGATATAATACATTCAAAGCTAAAAGTATCTGGAAGAGATTTGACTCTCTGTAGCTTCCAGGTTTTATAGTGTTTTCCTCTTACCATCAGAGTATTTACTGTGGTTATAGACCATGAACAAAGCAGTTAGAGATTGAATCAGAATTATCCTTTTGATGTTTTGGAAGTTGCTTTATAGACTAAATTTCTGAAAGCTTGGTACTTGCTATTTTTCCCTCAATAAAAATAAGTTACAGAACTAGACGGTTTGGCTCAGTAGTTAGAGTGTCGGCCTGCGAACTGAAGGGTCCCAGGTTTGATTCCGTCCAAGGGCATGTACCTCATACCTCGGTTGCAGGCTTGATCCCTGGCCCCAGTTGGGGTGCACGTGGGAGGCAATCGATGTGTGTGTCTCCCTCTCTTTTCCTTCCACTCTCTCTGAAAAGCAATGGAAAAACTACCCTCTGGTGAGGATAAAACAGAAGTTACACAATTCTGATCAACATCTGTGACATATTTCATACGCCCTTGGCAAATGATACATAGTGCTAGGAACGTAGTGGGCATTCAACATACACCTGTAAATTAACTGAAAAAGGAGCATAAGAAAACATGGTTCTGTTTATTTTAAATTTCTGGTTGGTTGCATTCTAGATAAACGACAGTTTATTGCAGAGAGAAAAACAGACCTGATGGAATCTAGGAAAGACATGGAAAGGGAAGGTTGTCCAGCAGGTCAGGAAATCTGAACCCGTTGTCAAGAGTTCTGAATGTTTTTCCTGTTCAACATTATGAGGTGCTTACCCATCATTAATTTTAGTTTGTTTTTATGTGAGCTTAAGCTTTGGGTAATTTCTTGACTAGTGCTTTTTAAATTTAACATCAGTTTTTTAAAAATAATTTGCATTTTGTTTCACAACAGTTGCTCAAAATATCCTTGAAAAAGGAGGGCTGTGTTAACCTTTAATACTTAAAAATCACTTGGAGGAAGTTCAATTGAACATGAGTATGTGTTTGCAAGAAAGTAAAACATAACCAGAATGAGTAACCTCTGTTCTCTGAGGCTTATTAAGCGTATCATTTATGCTTGAAAAAACAAAGTGAATTTATTTGTTTTAATGTCCAAAAACTTTGACCCAAGAGTTAAAAGGAGCTAGCTGACCAATACAGTAAAAATAGCAGCGGACATTTTTTAACTGGGATGATATTTAACCTTCCATCTCTTCATTACTGAACATGTTGAAAACAGTTTGAAATAACTTTCTAGTGTTAGAAGCACATTTAAAATGTCTACTCTGATAATGTGAGTTGTAGGCCTGCCAAATTATCAAATAACCAGGTCCCCAAACCCACTCTGGAAATAAAGGAGAATTATTTTTTAATCTAAATTATCCAAATAGCTTATCTTTATAATCCCATGACAACTCAGTAATTGCTCATCCTTTATTGGATCCCTGCTGCCTTGTGGGTTGAGTTATATTCATAAAATGAAAGGACTTACAGAAATAACAGAAACCAGCAGGGAAAGGTTCATTTTACTTTAAAAATGTTGTTTTTAAATTAGAGATGATACATGATGATTTATTTAAACCTGAAGAAATCCTGATTAATCTCCTCATATATCTATATTTTGTTGGTAAATCCTGGGAGATTTTGCTCTGTTGTTTTCTATTTTCTCTAACGGAGTGGTTGGGTCTTAGCTTAATTTGATGTTCCCTCCCAGGCCACTATTAAAGGCAGGCCTCTTTCCCAAATGACTTTTTTTATTATCTCTCTAGAAAAATGTTGATGACAATATCTTTTTTTTTATTACCCTTTGCATTAAACCTCTCCATGCCTTCTCATTGGAATGTGGTACCAGTCAGTTATTTAATATTTAATAAATAATTTTAGGTGAAACAAGGGACTTTCTCCTCCTGCCAGGCATTTTGAAGCTACAATAGAGAATATGAAACTCACACATTTAGTTATTTCTTTTAGACTCTGAGTTTGATTATAGAGAAAGTGACATAAAATGGCCTTTCAGTAATTAAATACTTTTGCTTTGTCCTTAGTACTGTGCCATATACATTGTGAAGCATAAAAGCTTAAGATGTGATGATTGTTGCCAACTTTCTTACATTCTGGATGAGGTGATCTGAACATTCTGCAATTAAGTAGCAATGCAAGACAACATATGACTAAATATCAAAATAAGCAGTATAAACAACAAATACTATAAGAGCTCCTAATAGGGGTTAAGTATCAGTAGAGGACATTTGATTTAACCAGTGGAGTCACCTCTTATTTGAGGGTTAGGTGCTAAAGTTAATCAATACACAATATAAAACCTATTGAAGTCCATATTCTTCAATCACCCATAAATCACCCACTCTTAAATCACCCATAAATTCTTCAATCACCCATAAATCACCCACTCTTAAATCACCCATAAATTTCAGTATATATAGTCAAAAATATGTGCTACATTAGATACTGACACACACACAGTCTCTTAGCGAGTTCTGTACAGGTAGTGTTTCCTTCTGTACAAACAGATCACTGAAGAAAGTGGCTTGAGTTTATCTTCAGGCCCAGCAATCAGCCTCAGCATCATGAGTTGCTTATACTATGAGAGGTGCATAGGAAGTGGGTCTGATTTAACATCTTTTGCTCCAGTAGAGGTGGAAAGATTTCAAATTTCAGTGAGATTTGTGAGATGGAATCTGTAAGTCTGTTGTCTGATCAGATGTGATGGAAGATGATTAGGAAGAAAAGAAAGTTGAGGATAATGCCAAGGTATTTCACTTGGGAGACAAGATGAGTTTATCATAAACTAAAACAGAAACCACGGGAAGAACTATGGGCTCTCTTTCTGAAGTGGACATGTTTTGTTCAAAGGGCCTGTGGATTTCTCACTCAACTATATCCAGTGGGCAACAGGAGATACGGGTTTGGAGAGTACAGTTAAGATTGAGGCTGGGGATACAGAATTTAGAGTCATGAGCAGAGAGTGGATGGATTGAGGGGTAGATGACAACACATTGGAATGGCCACTCTCCAAGGAAAGGATGAGAACTGTACTGGGTCGAATAGTGTTCCCAGCCCTCAATTCATGTCAACCTGGAACCTCAGAAAGTAACCTTATTCATAAACAGGGTCGTTGCAGATATAATTAGTTAAGATGAAGTCATACTGGATTAGGCTAGGCCCAGTGTCCTTCTAAGAAAAGATTACAGAAATGCAGACAGTGGAGAAGGCTATGTGAAGACAGAGGCAGAGACTGGAATGCCAAGGATCACCAGGAACTACTAAAAGCGAGGACGGGGTAAGGACGGACCTCCTCTAGAGCCTTTACAGTGAGCATGACCCTGATAACAACTCTACTTCAGACTTCTAGTCTCCAGAATTGTGAATGATTATACTTATATTGTTTTAGGCTAGCCAATTTGTGTCACTCTGCTATTGCAGTCTAGGAGACTAATGCAAGGATCATGGATAGACCCTGGCTTAAGGGCAGCAGAGGAGAACCCATGAAAGAGGCAGAGAAGGAATAGCCCCAGAGGGAGGGAAGAGCCATGTGAGCACATATGTGGAGCAGCACAAGCATAGTTTGATCAGAAGAGATGATCTGTGTCGAGGGATGGTAGAGATGGGGTCCCCAAAGTACTTAAAACAGTTTGAAGTTCAGGTATGTGGTTAGCCTCTGACTGCTGGGAATAGGCGGGGGGCAGAATGGTTCTGGGCTATTTCTACATCTTGACTCTTCTATCTGTCAAGGTTGGCCTTTCCTCCTCTTGCCTCCAAACTAACACTAGTCTTCCTTATTTTGTAAAGGACAAGACAAGTGACCCTAGCCATGGCCAGTGTGGCCCAGTTGGTGGAGCGTTGTCCTGTGCATCAAAAGGTCATTAGTTTTATTCCAGGTCAGGGCACATACCCAGGTTGCAGGTTCAATTACCAGTCGGGGTATGTACAGGAGACAAATGATTGATGTTTCTCTCTCATATCGACGTTTCTCTTTCTCCCTCTCTCTTCCTCTCTTTCTAAAACCAGTAAAAACATATTAAAAAAAACAAAAGCAAGTGACCCTAGGTCTAACCTGCTGCTTCTTCTTTTCTCCCTTTGTACCCATGGCCCCCATTTCCTCACCACTCACCCTCTTGGATTTGATTTCTCTCCTGAGTTTCCCAATTAGCCTTTAACTTGTTTAATCCAGTGCCTTTTCCTTCTCCTCATTTGACTTGATCTCACTGCATCTCTGCAGCATTAACATTCTGATCTTCTCTCCCTTGTTGAAAGTTTCTCTTCCTATGAATTCTCTGCTGCTATATTATTCCAGTTCTTAAATTACATCTCGGTCTCCCCAGGGTTCAATCTCCCTGCTGCTGCATAATGTGGACTAGATGATTCTCTTGGTTTGACTATGACTTCTATGATTCCCTTTCTCCCTCCCACAGTCAATTTTTATGACTATCCATTGAATGAATTAATTATGAGTTAACTCAATACATATTAATGACACCAAAATCCCTTCTTCACATCTGGCCTCCCTCAGGCCTAATCTAATTTTGGTCAGAAATATTGAGCATCAATTCTAATCTGTCATTTTAGAATTCCTCTTGTTTTATTTGAAATGTTTCCTTAAGGAGCTCTTTGGAGTAAATTTGGAAAATATAGAAAATGTGAAAAGAGAAGAATTACCCAATATTTCCATTATTTTTTTACATGTAGAGATCTATTGCTTATTTTTTATAAGCATAGTTAAAAGCAAATGTTATATATATGTGTGTGTATCTTTAATATATGTTTGTCTTCTGTTTTTTAATTTAACATTATAAT